GGCCGACTCGACCCGACAGTTTAATCACATTCCGCGTCATGCAACATAAGCAGTGTTCTGACGCGGACAATCGCATTAGCGACGCCGAAAAAAAAGAGTAAACAAACAGAAAACGCGTGTAGTCTAGTAGGTACCACAGAAGAATGCGGTTGTGCTCCTGTAGTAGACGAGCTACCACTGTGCCGGTATCGTATCGTCCATCCTGTCCTATAGTGGGAGGCACCTGCTACAATCACCGTCTTGGTCAGTTGTGACCGTTGTGACCGTTGTCGTTGTGACACATCTCCGGCACCAAGGCGTGGGGCGAACCAAGTAAGACCTTGCAAAGGGGACAGACGGGGCAGAGGGCTGCGCAGAGCGGGACGACGCAGGGCTGGCGGATCACAGCCATTACCCCCCGGCGCTGCTAAGTTCCTTTTATCCAAGACAATCCCGCCCCGGCTCGATTTGCATCGAGCCCCGCCAGCTCCGGCCGGGCGGGCTAACTAGGAGGCACGGCCTCCGTCTCGGCCTCGGAGCGCACGACTGTAGCGTGGGTAGCGGCGCTGTGCGACAAGTTGTACAGTTCAAAGCCAAATGCAAAACTTTAAAGTGGCCCATCCGCTTTGCGCGACCCGCCGCGCGCGACCTCGCTACACCCGCAAGGGCGGGGGTGTCACTGGCACCAATCAACTCGTGATATACACTAATCAAACATTCAACGAGGAAAATATGGGAAAACTGATTGGTTTTGAAACGGACACCGTGTACTCGCAAACACGGACCCATTCGCGTTTATTTTATTTTCAATCAGCTGCTGGAGGCCTCAGCACACATGATTGCCAGCCGGGCCACCACTGTCAATCCGACTTGGTGATGCGATGCGAGTGGCGGGGCGTGGCGTGGCGTGGCCGGGCGTGGCGGGCCGCGGGCCCGGCCGGGGCACCCCAGCCCAGCAGGGTCGGTCCCGCCCCGTGCCCCCCAGCCCAGCGCCGCCCCACCAAGAGTTTCCGGGGTCGCGGCGGCGGCAGATCCCCCGGGGACACGGTCGCGTTCAGTAGTTCGAACACTCTCCCCGCGGAACGCGACCCGAACCGAACAGCCCCCGAGGACCGCCCGCGCCCGCCCCCCGCATCTGTATTCACCTGCACGGTGCACGGGCGGAGGGGCGCGAGATAACCGGCAGTGAATCAACGCCCGCGCCGCCCCCGGGCCTCCACCCCCAGCCCCCTAACTGTCCCGCCCCTGGTTCGGCCCCCGGGGCCCGACCCTCCGCAGGACTTCGTCACCGCCGTGACACCGGCCACAGTCACGGATCTCCCTTCGACGGCGCGGGGACGAGCACGGCGGCCATCGCCACCTCCAGGGACCACTCGTCTGCAGCGACCGCTACGATTCGCCCGGCGGGAGCCGCAAAAGTAAGTCGAGTAAAAAGTGACGCCCGTCACGTGGAATTGCGATGGAAGGAAAGAAGAATTTTTCTCTGGAGAGATTTTGAATTTTCACACCCAGCAAAGGTATACTTGGATGTCTCAATGTTACGGTTGTAACAGGGAACGCCTGACGGGTAGGCCACCCGCGCTAACTCTCGCGCCTGGAGGTAGGCAGCCTCTCCACCAGTCGCACTTGCATCAAGTACACTAACGTCATGGTCACCTAGCATGTCAAAATGTTGGCGGTCCTTTTTGACTGCCAAATTTTGGCCGTCTTTTGGAGGCTGCCAATTTTTGTAGGCCTCCTTTTGAAAGAAGGCCAAAATTCGGCATTCAAAGAGGCCAACATTTGGTAGCTTCTAAAAGAATGTCAAAGTTTGGCATTCAAAGAGGCCAAAAATTGGCAGCCTCTCAGCCCAATCCAAATCCAATTTAGCCTTGAACCAGTAACATGCATTTAAGCGCGAAGGGGAACTAATTGCTATTAACTTGGGGGAGATTTTGCGCCCAAATATTCAAGGACA